ATAGGCGTGCGCCACCGCACCATCTCAATCACTGCCTCAGTGCGCCCCGGGGGTGGGGCCAGCACAGCTCTCCGGGGATCGAACCCCCAGCCCCTTCGTCTGCCTAAGTACATGCTTTAGTCTGCTGAGCTATCTGGCCAGCCGGCCCTGGTATCTGGATCTTGGGCCTGACCAAGATGGCATAACACAGCCCCAGCGACCCACAGGCAGTATGCATGAGAAAAGAGCATTTGTCGGAGTACTGTGCTGCAATCCAGAGAGAAAGCTGATGGAAGCTGCCTCTAGCCCAGCACTTCCCCCAGCGCTCTACATACACCAATGGTGCTTTGTTCCTTCCTGAAAGCAAGAACAATTCCTTCTGGCCTCATCCACAGGGAGGGAAAATCAGGTTTTCATTCTAACTAGGGTGCACAGGACCGCAGAAGCCTGAGCTCGAACCGCTCGGAACCCAGGGAGCCAATCACTCGCCCCTCTGCTCTTTTTGGGAAAAACCCAAGAATACAGAAGTATATAAAGACAAAATGACCCTCACTGGGTGGGCAGGGCACCTGCCTTTCCTCCCAGCACCCTCATGGCCCGAAGCAGAAGGACCAGAAGTTCAAGCCCAAGATGGGCAACTAAGCAAACTTGGGGAGACCTCGTCTGAAAAAAAAAAAAAAAAGGGTTAGGGACATCACTCAGGACAAAGGCTCTAGGTTCAGTCTCCAACACTGAAAACAAATAACAAATAACGAAGTAGAACAATCCCCCACCAGCTAAGACCCCTGCCTGGAGTGCTTCTCCCACTGCCCTGGGTGCCTGGATCGGCTGGGGATCTCCTCAGGATGAAGCACACATGGTCCTGTCCCCACCAAGCTCCAGGGCGACACCATAGGGAGAGTCCCCAGCACCCGCTCTTAATAGCAGGGCTGTAGGCAAAGGGTCCACACATAGACAGACGCTTATTGCGTGCAATACCCTAGTGAGGAGGAAAAGAAAACTCCTGGTCCCATCTGCAGAAAACCATTCTAACTGTATCCGTCTCCCCTGTGGCTGACTCAGATGTAACCGGTGTCTCGGATGTCTCGGATGGCTCGCCCTCGCAACACAACCGAGCGCCCAGCCCCGCTCCCGCTAGGACACGTCCGCTCTTACTTTTCTCCCCTTCTCGCTGTCTGGAAGGTAACAGTGTCTCGGGAAGCCTCGGGCGCTGAAGCTCCTGCCCGGATTTGGGTGCTCTGGCCCCTGCAAGCAGAAAGAAACAGAACCAGGGCGGTTTTCAGAACATTTTGGATGGGCGAAGGTCAGGCATGGTGACAACACTTGGCAAGAGTCACCAAGACTATGGCAGCAGGAAAGCTGCTGTGCACGCAGGCCCAGCCCGCATCCTCAGGCCAGAGCCAGCCACAGAGCTGGCGCCCAGGGGGGACTGGTGGGAGCCCTTTGCGGTGCTGGGGGACAAGGTGAGCGTCAGGCACGCTGGGGCCTGGTGTGCGGCCCGCGCAGGCTCAGCACCCTGGCGTCATCACCCCTACTGCTGTCCAGATGAAGAAAGCTGCATCCTAGGTGGGGGGAAAAGGTGTTTGGGATGTTGGCAGCCTTGCTAAAACTTCCGGGCAGGTTTCCAAGGTGCACTCTGGACATTTTAATGGACACTGCATCACAAAGCGCCTCTGAGCAAGGCACCGTGCAGCCGGGATTTTCTGAAGGACTCCGGTGGATCTCCTCTTTGTCTTCAGGGGTTGTGGGCTGCCTTTCTCCTCAGTAATCCTGATGAGGACATCCAGGACCAAAACTCTTCTAACAGCATTCCTGCTCGTGGCGTCCCAGGCTTCACAGGCAATCACAGGTGCTGGTGGGAAAGAAACTGAAGCAGGACTCGGCTGGAATCCAGGTGCTGCAGCGGTGGAAACGGCTCCTGTCCCGCGAAGCGCATGCAGGGTCTGGCTCCCCTGCAGCCGTGCTGGCTCGGGCCTCAGGAGTGGCCTGGATCACAGGAGCGACCGAGGCTTTCTTAACGGGTATGCCCAACCCCTCCTACGACAGCAGACCCATTAAGGCAAAACCGCACCGCCATGAAGCAGGGCTGGTCCTCCTGTCTTCATGCTCCTACACACATCTTCTCATTTGCTTTTTTCACACGACTTGCCGCAGCACAGGGCCCTGTGTGATGGCTAACTGCGGTATCAGCCTGCATAAAAAATGCCCAGCTGACTGGCTTGGCACAATCTTGGATATAGATGACGGACGTGCTGATGAGGGAAGCCCCACCCTGAGTGTGCGTGGCAGTGACCAATAGGCTTGGAGCCTGGATGGAATGAAAAGGGAAAGGAGGCAAAGCCTCACTTCCGCTCCTTCTGGGCACTCCTGTTTTGCCACCATCTTGGGCGTCCATCTCCAGGCTTAAAGTGCAGGCCCTCTGGCCTCCCAGTAGGGCTGCTCATGGGCTCTGCAGGGAGCTCCAGGCCGCTGACTTCTGACCGGATCCTCTGCACATCCAGGCGCAGCTGGTCCTCTGGTACCTTCCACACCTGACTCTGCAGGTGGCCATTGGCAGCATGCTTCATAATAGTCTATGTATCATATATAGTGTCACGTACGTCACATTAAACCTGTTCCTCTAGTGCACCCTACCTATGGACCATCCCACCTAGAAGCAGCTGCTGGTCTCTGAATCCCTCACGTCTGGAGCCACAAGCCACGTGCACCTCTATTCTCTATAACTCACCCCCCAGCTGATCTCTTATAGCGACAGAGCACAGACCCAGGCTTCCCTCAGGTGCACTGGTCCTCTGAGCAGCTCACGAGAGGCAACACCCTCTAGCAATAAATGCCCTCACTTTGCACACACAAATGCTTGTCTGGAATGTCTGAGTAGCTCAGATCCCGCAGGGATGGAACCCTGCTGTAAAAGGGACTTCAACATATAACTGAGAATATTCCTATTCCATGCTGCTGTTGGCATGAATTCTGCCACAGATGACGAATAAAACCAACCAGCCTGCATATACGAATGAGTGACAAAACTGTAGGAAAACATGGGCTCTTTTGCTTTGCTTTGTTTTCATGGTACTTGGGCTTGAACAATGGCCCACATGCTGAGCTACATCTCTAACCCTTTCTGCACTGTTTATTTTGAGATGAAATTTTGCTAAGGTGCTAAGGACTTACCAGGTTTCAATCCCCCTGCCTCAGCCTCCCAGAATGCTGGGACTACAGGCATGTGCCACCATGCCCGGCTCGGAGTTTTCATTTTCTCCTATGCACCACGATTTGAAAAGGATGAGAAATGATGTGGTTCTTCTATTTATTGTTTGAAGCGGCCTGGCTGCTGCAGCTCATGTAGGGCTTGGCCACCTGCATGGCAGGGTCTGTGCTGTGAGTCTCAGAGGGTCTGGCAGTCACCACAGGTACACGCCGTGCTGTCACTTGCCAGGCTGCCTGACCGTGGTCTGATGGCTCCGCTCCTCCTCTCCTCAGACTGCGTAGTGTGAGTCTGCCCAGGGCGGCCTGGCACTGACCCAGCGGGGCTGTGCCTTCCGGGCCCGATGCCAAGCCCAGCAGTCACGAATGCCCAGAGCGCCTCCAGGGAGAAGTTGTCTGCAGTGAGGGAGGCACTCGGTCTTGGTCCATTCCTGAAGGAGCCAGTGCTCTGTGGTGGCAGCTGGCAGCCACGTTGGTGTCCCCGGGCAGCCTGAAAGGCAGAAGCTCTGCCGACAGCCTCCCACCCGACCCCGGGCACACCGGGGCTGCCGCAGGAGTCTGTCCTGGCTCCCACACTGACACTCGTGCTCCTGTGTCCCACCAGCTGCCCGAGGTTCCTGCAGTGGCCTCTGCCGCCCAGCCCAACCCACCCTTCCTGTCTCACCCCCACCTTTCCCTGTTCAAGCCCGGTTACTGGAACCAGGCATGGCAGGGGTCTCTGAGCAGTCTCTTTGGGTCGTCCTGTGTTTTACTCCAGACTGGCTTCTGAAAGCCTAGGCCCAGCCCCTCAGGCTCCCCCAACCTAGCCCCACCCAGCAGCCTCCAGGGCCTGCCCCTGTCCACATCCCAACCTGGTCCTCAGGGCCTTTGCTGTCCCGGCTGCCACTTCCCTCGCCTCATCCTCCCATCTCTGCCACATTCCTCCACCATCCCCTTGAAAGTCTTAGGCTGTGACTGAACTCGTGTGTGTGCGCACGCGCGCGTGTGCCTGCCCTTCCTCACCCCCACTCACCTCCTCTCCAGCTAAAACCCTCGCCTCCATTTCCTCACGTCTCCCTCAGCCCATGGGAAGGGCCTGCCCCAGAAAGCCTCTCAGCTTCAGAACAGACTGGCAGGCCCTTCTCTCACCAGGACAAGGGCGGAGCAGAGGACAGGAGGAGGACGGGCTCCTGGGGGCCTTGGTCCTAGACCCTGCGCCCAGACAGGGCCCACACGTGTCGCCTCCCACTGCATGATGCCTCTGCCTGAGGGGCTCCTTCCCGCTGTACAGAAAAAAAACAAGCTTGGGAGGTGCAGGCAGCCGCCCCACGTCGCTGCTCACGGGGCTGGGCACCGGAGGCTGGCTGGGCGGACTGTGCATCCTTCGCTGGGCATGCCTCCTCGCCTCTCACACGCACCGTGGCCTGCCCGCTTCCACTCCCGAGATGACTGCTGACCGATTGAGCCTTCCCCGAGTGAGTGCGGGAAGTCCCCGAGGAGGAGCGAGTTCAGCCGGCGTTCATTTGCAGGTTTTCACGCCTTTCTGTTATTTCCTCATCACTTAGGACTGCTTCGGAGTTCCTTGAGCATTTATTTGTCTGCTTAGTGTTTCCCAGTCCCGCTGCCATGGGGACCCGGGGCTCCTCTGGCACCTAGAAGGCGGCTGCGCCCTAAGGCGCGCTCCAAGGGCTGTTCTAAAGGAGCAGACGACTCCCCGAGGGAGGCACTGGGGAAACCACAACTCTACAACAGCATCAAAAGGGCAATACTTAGAAAGGAAAAAGAGCAGGTAATAAGGGTGAGGTAATGGGTCTGCTGAAGAAATGAGTCCAGTCTGCGCCCTGGCACAGCTAGCGACAGCCTCCCTGTGGGAAGGAAGGCTCCCATTTGTATTTACTGTCAGGAAAGCCCTTCCGACCAGGGCTTTAGGACTGGCTTTCAAAGAGCCAGAGAGGAAAGGAATGCCCACCCAAATCAAAGCCAAGAGCAGCTATCAAATTAGAAATGCAAATAACATTCGACAAAGAAATTCCACTTCGCGGGGATTATTCGACAGATATTCTCACGTACGTGCAACATTATTCACTGCGGCATTATTTGCTGTAGCAAAAGACTGGAAACAATCCATACGCCCGTCACACGGAAGCCGCTGAATGAAACGATTCACACAATGGATTACTGCACAGACTAGGAAGGAACGAGGAAGCTCTCTCTGGGCCGCCGTGCAAAGCTCTACAGGCTGCATCGTTCCCGGCAAGACGCGGGGTGTGAAGCTGAGTGCTGCAATGTCACCGCTTGTGGAAAAACCAGAGGGGTGGGGAGTCATCTCTGCCAGGCGGGCACAAAGGACCCTGAAGGGTTCCAAGAAAGTAGGAACAATGGCGGGGACAGGAGGGCGGGGACTAGCCCACGGAGGGGAAGCCCCGGAAGGAGGCGCCAAGGAACGCGTTTTAGACGCCAGAACGCGTGGACGCACCTGGATGCCAGGGGGGATGCTGTAGATGATCCGGATGGTCTTGCAGTCCGGGTGGCCCGGCAGGGAGTGGGGGATGAGGTGGTACTCCATCTTCCCCGGAGGCTGCATCCCTGTCTTCACCCCATAGATGGTCTTGCACGTTGGACACTGCAGACTCCCGTCCTGAGACAGCCGGAGTAGAAAACGCTTTGGTAACGATCTCCCCGCCCAACCCCGGATGGAACCAGAGATGGAGGACTGAGGACCTGGAGGTGCGGAGGGGGATATGCACTGAACCGAATACCAGACCTTTGACCCGGCCCAACTAACTCCAAAGTAGCAAGAAAGAAAATCCAGAAAGAGCCCTGAGCTCCACGCCAGTGCATAGAGAAGAGACTCCCTCTCCTCGAGGGGGACCAGCTGAACGGCACAGGGACCCACGGGAGTCTCTCTGACCACTCAGTCCCTGCTGGGCGGGTCACACAGCAAGCATTTCAGAGCAGCAACTGCCAAACTAAAGAGCGTCACTCACCCAGGGGGGGTTCTCTCAAATGAAGACATCTGGACCCCACAAGAAGACCCCATGGGTGAGGACAGGGAGGCTGCGGGGCGCGGCGGCCTCACTCTAAAATCACACTGCCCGAGTTTGTTTCTCAGCTTCCCTGGCTACCAGTTCAGCTGCCTTGGGCATGTTAATTAACCTGAACCTCAGTTTCTATGTAGAACAAGAAAATTACTAATATCTGTCTTGCTGGAGAGCTAAATGAGGTGATCTGCAGGGAGGGCTTCACATGCAGAGTCTCTATCCATGCCCGCTGGGTGTGGACACTGTCCCCAGGAGAAAGGAACTGGGACGTCATGCTGTGGCCTCTGAGGGTGACTTGGAAAGAGTTGAAACTTGGGTTAGAAGGACTAGGACAGAAGGTGAAGTTAGTTAAAGTGGGGTCCATGCCATCACCTACAGGGCTGCATGCTGCAGATGGGCAGAAGGAATAGCAGAAAACTTCACAAATATGGGAAAACAACCTGACATGCAGGTTACTGAGACATACAGAACTCCAAATAGTATCAACCAAAATAAATCTACACCAAGATATATAATAATCAAGATCCCAGATATTCAGCACAAGAAAAGCATAATAAAAACTGCTAGAGAAAAGAAACAGATCACATTTAAAGGAAAAACCATCAGAATAACAGATTTCTCTACACAAATCATCAACTCAAGAAGAGCATGGAGGAAAATATTTCAAGTCCTACAAGGAAACAAATTTCAACCCAGACTAATATACCCTGTAAGGACGCCTTTCAAAATTAATGGAGAAGTAAAGTACTTCTATGACAAAGAACAAATAAAGAAATTCATGATGACCAAACCAACCCTACAGAGTACTAAAAGTTATTGAAGAAAGGGATCAAAACTACCACAACTCCAAGAGGAAAAACAGAATAAACCCACCGATCAGACAAACAATTAAGGACAGGAAAAGTAGGGAACCACCAGCAGGAAAATAACATGACAAACATAAGCCAATACATGTCTGTCTTAGTTACTGTTTACTACTTACAATACCCAATGCTCAAAATGAAGGAAGGAAAGGTTTATTTAGCTCACAGTTTGTGGAGGTTTCAGATCATACTCCACTGGCCACAAGGCAAATGACAGCAGTTCACGGCAGCAGAAAACAATGAAGAGGAGGAGGAGCAGCAGCCATGGCATCCATCAAGCCTCTCTCTTCTTTCCACACAGACCACGAAGATGAAGATCATAGCTCTCCACTGCAAAGATTTTTGCTCCTCAGAAGACTGGGACTTCTACAAGGAAGCAGGGTAGGGCAGGGCTGCAGGAAGCCTTCCTCAGTTCCTTTAGATACACTTCTTGTGCTGAGTTACTCTGGGGTGGCCCACGGCCCTAGGGCTGAACCAATCACACCCCAGTGCTGGCCCAATAGCGCCCCAGGTTGGGCCCCACCCACCTGCAGGGCTGGACCACCACGCTGACAACTCCTGGAGCTGATTCAGCCAAGTTGACACAATGTAACAACTAACACCACATCAATTGTAACCACCAACATAGATAGACTCAATTCACCAATTAAAAAAATAAATTGGCAGAGTGCATCAAGAAACAAAGTCCAGGGCCAGAAAGATAGCTCAGTGGTCTAAGCATCTGCCTGACAAGCACCAGGACCCGAGTTCAGTCCCTGGTACTTCATGCCATGCTGGCCCCAGAACCTCAAGCACACCTGCCAGCCCTGAAACCATGTATGGCGGAGCACACCTGAGATCCCAGGACAGGGGAGGCTGAGAGAGGGGGAATCATTGTGACTCTGAACTGCATAGTGAGAGGCTGTATCACAGAAAGAAAGAAAGAAAGAAAGAAAGAAAGAAAGAAAGAAAGAAGACAAAAAAGGGAAGGAAGAAAGAAAATCCAACATTATGCTCTATACAAGAAACACATTTTACTCAAAAAGAAATTCATAGACTGAAAGTCAAAGGATGGAAAACAACACTACATGTTTCAGGAGCTCAGACAAAAAGCAGAGATAGCTATTTTGTTCACAGACAATCTGAACTTCAAATCAAGAATGATCAAATGGCACAAAGAAGGTCATTACATACTGCTTAAGGGAAAACTTCAGGAGGAAGAGATAACAGTCATGGGGCCGGGGACATAGCTCAGTAGAATAAGCACTTGTCTGGCAAGTGCAAGGCCCTGAGTTCAATCCTCAGCTCCACAAAAAAAAAAAAAGATAACAGTCATAAATATGTATATGACAAACATCTGAGCACCTAACAACATAAGGCAAATTTTAAAGGAAAAATGAAAATCTAATGACCAATAACACAATCTTAACAGGCAAACTTAACATCCCCTTACATAAAAAAGGTAGGTAAAGTTGAAAAAAAAAAAAAAAAACCTAGCAAAGAGGTAGCAGAAATGAGCCAAACCTGACAACAAATGGACTTGGTAACATAAACAGTGTTTCACCCAACAGCATCTGAACACACATTCTCTTTAGCTGCACATGCAATGTTATCTAAAATATGCCGCATACTATTCCATAAATGCTTAAATAAATGCAAGAAAACAAATTATCCCATACATATTGTCTGACCACAGTGCAATGAAACTGGAAACGTATGACAAAGGAAACTGCAAAAAAAAAAAAACCCACAAACACATGGAAATTAAGTAACAAAAAATAAATACTCTAATGGTGCACCTCAAGCTTCTAGAAAAACAAGAGCAAGCCAAGCTCAAAACTCAAAGATGTGAGGAAATTATCAAGATTAGAGCAGAAAGTCATGCAATTCACACAAAGAAAATAATACAAAGAATTAATGATTCAAAGAACTGGTTCTTTAAAAGATTAAATAAAATTTATAAACCCCAAGATGACTGCATCAAAAAGAGAGAAAAAAATTCAAAATCAGTCAATAAGGAATGAAAATGGTGAAATTACTACAGACTCTGTGGAAAAACAGAAAACGATCAAAAGCTACTTTGAAAATATTTTCTCTCACAGAACGAAAAGCACAGAAGAAATGGACACATTTCTACACAGGTACAAATAACCAAAACCAAATCAAGAAGCTATAAAAACTCTGAATAACCCTATATCAGCCAGTGAAATTGAAAATGTAATTTAAAAAAATACCCATAAAGAAAATCCCAGGTCCTAGTGGATTCATACCTAATTTCTACCAGAAATTTAGAGAAGATTTAATCCCAATACTCCTCAAACTGTTCAATGAAATTGAAAAGGAATCAATTTTCCAAAAATCATTCTTGAAAATAAGTATCCTACTGATACCAAAACCAGAGAAAGACTCAACAAAAACACAGAATTACACGCTAATTTCCCTCATGAACACTGACGCAAAATGCCTCAATACAATACTAGCAAATAGAATGCAACAAATCATTAGGAAGCCTATACACCATGACCAGGTGAGAGTCATGCCAGGAATGCAAGGATGGATCAGCATACACTAGACCATCAATGTATATGCTACATCGATACAGCCAAAATCAAAAACTACATGATCATCTCAATACATGCAGAAAAAGCTCTTGACAAAGGCCAACACTCATTCGTGATCAAAGCTCTATAAATAATTGAAATGTATGGCCTATATACCAATCTGATAAAAGCCATCTATGACAAACCAACAGCCAAAATCATTCTAAATGAAGAAAAATTAAAAGCTTTTACTCTAAAATTAGCTATAAGGCCACGTTCCGGGAACCCCCAACCCAGTCTTAGCCCAGGCCTGCTGAGTGTGTGGGAGAGCTTCCAGCTACCCTGCGCCGGCAGGACCTACTGGTCCCAGCCCAGACACAGGGTGGGTAAGACCCTCTTCCACCCCCTAGGGACACCCCCTCCACTAACCCGCCTGCCCAGTAGGAATTACTGCCATGTTCCAGGAACCCCCAAATCCAGTCCTAGCCCAGGCCTGGTGAGTGTGTGGGAAAGCTTCCAGATACCTTGTGCTGGCATGACCTAATGGTCCTAGCCCAGGTGCAGCGTGGGTAACACCCTCTTTCACCATCTTGGGATGCCCCCGTCACTCCATAGTACCCCCCACACACACACACCCACAGAGTAGGAATTTCTGTCGCGTTCCGTGAATCCCCAGATCCAGTCCTAGTTCAGGCCCGGTGAGTGTGTGGGAGAGCTACCTCTCCCCCCTACTCCAACTTGTCCCCTCCAGACTCAGCTCAGGCCTGGCATACAAGCCTGGGGTGAAACCCTACAACTGCAATCCCTGCAGAGAGTGCAGTGGACAAAACTACCCAGCTAGTCCAGGAACAGAACATCTTGCCAGAGGGGTACAACAGGTTCACCCCCAAGGGCAGAAGCAGGAAGAAACTGAGCACAGCAGCCAGACCCAAGCTAGGTACAGCTGGATAAATCCAGGCACAACTGGATAAAACATTGTAGATCTGCACCTTAACTTCAGTATGTGCTAAGGTTTAACTGCAACAAAGATCTACAACAAAGGTCAAAAGACAGTGCTACACAAAATGACAATGAGAAGGAGCAAAATGCAATCTCAGAAACCAAGCACACCCATAACAAGTGCAGAGAACACTAATGCAGAATAAATTGGGAATCACACAGCTGAAAGCAATGAATCAACAGCTTCTGAAATAAAGAAACAGCTGCAGAAAGGTATAAAGGAGCTCAAATTGGAAATGAAAAGAGAAATTCCTGAATTAATAACATCTGCAGTAAAGAATCAAATGCAGAAATATATGGAGGAAACCCAATGCCCATCCAGGAAACTAGTTCAACTCAAATGTATGAATTAATAGCATCGATAGTAAATAAGCAACAGCAGAAAGTTATAGAGGAACTCAGAGCACAATTCTTTTCTGAAATGAAAAAAGAATTCTCAGAACTCAGAGCATCTGAAGTAAAGAAGCAACTACAGAAACATAGGGAGGAAACCCAATCTGAAAAAAACACGGAATAAAAGAATTTATAACTGCTTCTGAAGAAGACATTGATAAAAAAAATAGAGGAGATTAGAAAAATGATGGATTCCTTGAATGAGGAATCCAGGAAAGAAATAGATCGCATGAAGCAGAGTCAAAGA